TCTGGCGCATGCTTGGGGTGCTCGGCTGACGCATCTCCGTCCTCTAACCTCGCCACCGGGCACATGCTCCAATCCCTCCATGCACTGTGCAGTCAGTGTGGATATGTGAATCGATATTACTGATGGGCTCCTTACGCGGCCTCTTCCTGTATTCTTTCGTACTCCTCGCTTCCTGTGCTGTCACCAGTAGAGGCGGCCATGCCACTCAACACCCCCTGCCCGATGCGCAGGCCGCTCGTAACGGATCTCTAATTTCCCAGAAGCTGTTCTGGGAACTCGAAGAACTCGCGCGCATTGTCGATATATCCTACTGTGTAGGCGCCGCCGGCCTGGGCATCCAGAAGCCCTTCAGGTGCGCCAGCCGCTGCGGAGACCGCGACTTTGAGACTTTCGAGTTGGTTACAGTAAGTGGCTGCATCCAGCAACACATCGCACAAGGTGCATGAGGTGCTGATATGTCCAGGCATGGAACACTGGCCCTTTTCTATCTGACTCCTGCGGCTACATCGCTCTGTCGCATTCACCTACCAACCCGCGCCTGATCCTTGCCTTTCGCGGCACCTATTCGGTTGCCAATACCATCGCCGACCTCTCTACCATACCGCAAGAATACGTGCCATACCCAGGCGACGATGATGATGGTACCTCGGACTTCATCGCCCCGAGTCTAGACGTAGACGACGATGCGCCACCCGCCGAGCCGCCCAAATGCGACAACTGTACTGTACATACCGGCTTCTATTCCTCGTGGCTCAACACCCGTAAGGTCGTCCTGCCACATGTATTCAAGGCCCTGGACAAGTATCCCCATTACAAGCTGGTCTTGGTGGGACACTCGTTGGGCGGTGCCATTTCGACCCTCGCCGGGTTGGACTTCAAGGCTCGTGGATGGGACCCTCATGTGACAACCTTTGGCGAGCCTAGACTAGGCAACAAGGAGTTCAACAAGTACGTGGATGAGCGCTTCGCCATCACTTCGGATCACGACAACAACAAACTTCACCGTGTCACCCATGTCGGCGACCCTGTCCCTCTGCTACCACTGTCTGAATGGGGCTTCAGTATGCACAGTGAAGAGATCTTTATATCCGAGTCAAGTCTACCTTTCTCAGTTGCCGACATCCACTACTGCGATGGTGACGAAGACCCGCACTGCATTGCTGGGAGCGACCAAGACAAGCCTGCCTGGGGTGTACCCACTCGCTTCAAGTTTTGGCAGCTCTTCTTCGCCCATCGCGATTACTTCTGGCGATTGGGTTTGTGTTTGCCAGGTGGTGACCCACGAGACTGGTACGACAAGTATCCTGAGCATAGCATAAATGACGGAGACGATGATGTGCCTGAAATTATTGAATTGTAATGACACTTGGTCTTTTGCCTGTAATGTTTTAAATCGTAATTCGTACACCAAGCCCTTTTATATGCTTCTCAATACTAAGACGTGTGACAACGCCGAGACCATCCTTACGCCGCGCCTGCAGACCATGTTACTTGAAGAGAAAAAGACCTTTTAGTGGGTGCCGTTTTGGCTGTGGGCCCTCCTCTTCGCGACAGCGCCAGCAAGCTCAGCGAGCACGGTCTCGGTAGTTTCCCAGTCGATGCACGCGTCGGTGATGGACATGCCGTACTCGAGACCAGCCTTGCCTTCCTTGGGTACCTTCTGAGTGCCAGCCTTGATGTTGCTCTCAATCATGACACCCATAATGGCCGTCTCTCCAGCCTCGATCTGCTCAGCAATCGCATGCGCAACCTTTGGCTGGTTCATGTGGTTCTTCTCCGAGTTGCCGTGGCTGCAGTCAATCATCAAGCGCGAGTTCATGCCCTTGGACTCGAGCTTCTCACGCGCCTCCTTGACGCTCTTCGCATCGTAATTTGTGCCCTTCTTTCCGCCGCGAAGGATAATGAAGCAGTCATCGTTGCCAATGGTGCCAACAATGGCGACGACACCAGGCTTGGTGACGGAAAGGAAGTGGTGAGGGTGCTTTGCGGAGCCAATGGCGTCAATGGCGACATCGAGAGTGCCGTCTGTGCCGTTCTTGAAACCAACCGGGAAAGACAGACCTGAAGCAAGCTCACGGTGGAGCTGCGACTCTGTAGTCCTGGCGCCAATTGCGCCTACACTGAACATATCGGCCAAGAACTGGGGAGAAATGGTATCTAGCATCTCGCTCGCCAGGGGCATGCCCTTCTCAGTCAGATCAGCGAAGAGCTGTCTTGAGATGCGCAGGCCCTTGTTGATCTTGAAGCTGTTGTCGATATCCGGGTCATTGATGAGACCCTTCCAGCCTACAGTTGTACGAGGCTTCTCCAGGTAGGAGCGCATGACGATGAGGAGATCATCCTGGTACTTCTCCTTGAGCTTCATCAACCGGTCGCAGTATTCGAGGGCAGCGGCAGGATCGTGGATGGAGCACGGGCCGATGACGACGAGCAACCGCTTCTGTGCATCTTTGCCTTGGACAATTTCCACAGCTTCGTCACGCGCCTTGAGGACTGTGTCTCTTGACTTGGCCGTCTGGGGGATTTCACTCTGGAGGAGGTCGGGAGGTGTGAGGGGGTTGTAGCCCTTGATGCGCCAATCTTCCGAGTTGTGCGGGTCGCCGACGGCTTTGTTCTCGATGTGGAACTGCGGCGACGTGTTAGAGTGTGCGACTGGTGGCGGCGATGGATGCTGGTGTACATACAGACATAGTTCAAGAGAAGACGCACGAAAGATTAGGAGGATCTGGGTATATGGAAGGAAATCAGAGACAAAAACTCTGAAAAGGACAGCGACTGTGGTTTTATTTGCTCTTCTTCTCCTCGGTGACGACCAAGACCTTTATGAGTCGAATGTTTTCTGGTATGACGGCGGAGTCGGAGGCGGCCTCATTGGTCAATGAGCGGGGCATTCGCGCCGATTTTTAGGTGGCGCGGGGTCGAGCCTCAATCATCATCGCCGGTCCGGCCACGCCCTGGCGCACAAGGATGTCCTCGAGAGAGAATCATTCGGCCCTATATTGGAAGCTGGTCGCAATGCTCCGCGAAGCTCGAGATGGGTTTCATTATATGGCCTTTGGGCGTGTTCAAATGCAAAAGTAGAGATATCTAACATAGACAGGTATGATGTCATGGAGAGCTCCATGAAGCTAGATATCAATACAGCGCATTTCGGAGTACAATAATAAGTACCAGCGAATATCTACATTATTTCAGACTTCATTTGAGTTGTTTCTGATGGTCGGACTAAGTTTTACGAACAGTCGCTCTGGTGCTATCATGAGAGCCGCATGTAGATGTTGTACCTCACATAATAAGCAACATTCAATAAAAGGAAGTGAATAACTGCGGGTAGTGGTAAGAAAACGACGTATAACTTCAGAGCTTTTCTTAAGACTTGTACATGTATTACATCCAGCTTTCGTGATCGCACTGGAGCAGTCGACTAGGCTTTAACAAGTGTGCCGTCATTGCTCTCCACCGACATCATACGTCACAGCCATGCCATACCGAAGGAGCCGTTGCGCGCCAGTCTGAAGCTAATACATAATCTCGAACTCTGCACTGCACTGTAACGAAAAAAAAACATTACTCACATTCAACTTTTGCTCAATCACAATTCATCATGGGCAGCCTAGACTATAGATCCCTCCAAAGCATCCCGATCAGCTATGCGACATGCTCGCTCGGATCGCCATCAAACCCTCCGCCTCTCCTCGACCGCTTGCATGCTATATCCACCGCAGGTTTCACTGCCGTCGAGCTTTCTTTCCCAGACATTCTCTCCTACGGCCAGACACTACTCGGCCATGAAGTCGAACCGTCCAATTATGACGAGCTATGCATAGTGGCGGGCGAGATCAAAAAGGAGTGCGACAAAAGAAGCCTTGGAATTATGATGTTGCAGCCATTTGCCAATTACGAAGGCTGGCCTGAAGGCTCCGATGGCCGCAAAGACGCCATGGACCGGGCTCACGGCTGGATCCGCATCATGCAGGCGTGTGGGACAGATTTGCTGCAAGTCGGATCGACGGATTCACCCCTCGAGAAACTAGACAGGAGTAAGATGGTGTCTGACCTCCAGGTCCTCTGCGACATGCTCAAGGAGCACAACTTCCGACTAGCTTACGAGAACTGGTGTTGGTCGACACATGCACCTGACTGGAAAGATGTTTGGAGTATCGTTCAGCAGGTAGACCGTCCGAACATCGGTCTATGTCTTGATACCTTCCAGACTGCAGGTGGAGAATGGGGCGATCCTAGGACGGCATCCGGTTTGCGAGAAGATGTATCCAAAGACGAGTTGGAAAAGCGGTTCCAAAAGAGCCTGGAAGAGCTGAGCTCCACCATTCCCAAGGACAAGATCTACCTTCTGCAGATCAGCGATGCCTATAAAGTCCCTCAGGCCTTCGATGCTGAGCGTGACGACGCAGGTCTGCTACCTCGTGGACGATGGAGTCACGACTTCCGACCTCTACCTTACAACGGGGGATACCTACCGGTTGTTGATGTTGCGAGAGCAGTGCTCAAGACGGGATTCAGAGGCTGGTTCAGCTACGAGGTCTTTGACGGAGGTGCAGACGGCAAGGCTACAGACGTAGACATTGTGGCTTATGCACATGCTGCGAAGAGTGTACAAGATAGGCTGCTGCAGGACTGTGCTGGTCACAAGGTTCCGGAAGCGATGGCAACAAGATAGGTTGCCGATGGATTTGGAAAAAACTAAACAATATGACGGACTTGTATTTCTACCGAATGCGAAGCTGTCGTCTTTGAGAGCAAGGACCAACTGATGATACAGTCAGGAAAGATACGAAGAGATTGGAGAATAAGAAACCTGTTTCGAGGACAGCGTCTGTAACCTCTCCTCTATACTTGTCACTGAATATCTCATTCCAACGCACCCGTCGTAACAGCCGTCAAAACTGCCTCAGTCACCATGATCAAGACCACCGTTCGCGTAGCCGTCAACCTCGTGCGCGATCACCTAGTGCATCTTTTGTTAGCCACAAAACGCACCCTTAACATATGATGTCATGTCCAGAATAAGGGCATCCAGAGTCACTAGTCTTCGGCTTGTCCTTCGTCTTGGTTACCAATATCGTCATCGTTTCGCCGCAGTATATTCTTGGATAAGGATACGGACAATGCCTGTCCGGCACGATTATGCTTGTGATAACCTCAGGGTCAGTTCTGTGCGTCAATGTTTCGCAATACGTGAGAGAAGTCTTGAGCGTAAGGAAATTCATCGTGGACGTCGGCTTCCTAGGGATCGATTTCGTAGAGGGGCCGGATATGCTTGGTACGGTCCCACCCTTCGTTTGTGAGCTTGGGTGCAAGGGTAGACCGAGAGGGCTATCGTAAGAAGATATATTGATTGGCTCCTTGGATGTGAAAGTTGGAGAGGGAGATGCAGAGCTCGTGCATGAATGAACTGAACTCCAGATGAGTGACGTCGGGTCATGAGGAAAGATGGGCAAGCTAGGGTAGGCCGGCGGATATTGTGACATGAATGTTGAGAAAGGAGATATGGAGCTCGGCATTGTGAAAGCTGCAGTCGATGGAGAATCGAAGGCGGTACTCGAACATGTTGATGTAATTGTCAGTGTCGGACGAAGAGAAGCTTCCTTACAGTCAAGTGTGAACACACTCGATTGAGTGGGCACACTCGGTGAAACGCTGGCGATGGGACTCGAAGTCATCGAATCGACTGTTGTCACGGATGAGCTGGAAAGGATAGACCACTGCCATGCACTCTCCAGGGAAGCTGGAAGCAATCCGGTGAAAGCTGCTATAGTTGAGGAAGGCATCGGACCAGGTAGACCTGAGCCATACCGACTATCAGGAGTCCATATAGGAGTGATCGGGTCTTCGGTTCCTAGCCTTGAGTTGCTTTTCACGGTGGTATGGCAATGCTGTGTCGAAAGGCCACGTACTGCGGGCAACAGTGTCGCAAGAACAGCGACGCGCATTTTGTTTCCTCTAGAGGTAGTCAGATCGATGGCAGTAGGATTCGGTTTCTGAAAATCCGCCAAATATAGACATGTTGTTCTTCCTTGGGAAGGATTATTGTGTCACTCCGAGTTCCATCGATGCTTTAGACATGTGACTCTTTTGTTCTTGTTTGACGTAATGTAAAGACTGTCCTACATGGCTGCAAAGCTTGAAGCACATGTGAAAGACAATGTCTTTGTGTGCTCTTTTCGGTTGATTCAAGCTTGAAAGTACAGCACATCATTCGCTCATAGTAATGTGAACACGGAGGAGCTCATTTCTGAGTTCTACCCTCAAGCGCCAGACCCTAATCTAGAGGTATACATAGAGTTTTATATCATGGAACCGACAGAATACATATATCGTATACTTTCGGTGTAGAGTATAATGCATGGATGCTCAACGGGAGAAGCAAGAAGAAAAGGGCTTCATTACAAGGGTGGACCTCCACCGGCTTTCTCGATCCGTCCAGAAGAGTCTTGATCATTAGACAGCAAACATTGCGAGAAGATTTCAACCATTGAATAGGACGCCAATGAAGGAGCTGGTATCACATAGGCTCCAGTACTGCAAGCATTTGGCAACACCCACACGATGTGATGCAGTAGGGCTGTGGGCATCCCAAAGGTGCCTGTCTTTCAAGACCAGCGAGTTGCTTACTTGGGCGGGATACCCCATTACAGTCCTGCATCGATGCGCTGTAGAACCTCATACCATGAAATATGGTGGTTAAGAAGAGCGATCGTGATAGCAGTTGTGCCGTCCAGTTTGACCTCGGCAAAAGTGAAAAGACGGGAGAAGTGGATCTCATAGCCACCGCGTGAAGTATCTCACACGTTATCGTCGCAACACGGAACGCGATATTCTGAGAAGTCGCAGGTCTGTGAACAAAAGTAGAGTCTGAGGTTTCGACACTTCCTGCTTTCCCTTGGAGGACAATCTACGGCCCGCAAGCCGCTCCGTCTTCCCGAAATTTGCGTCCCCTCGACGGCACCCAAGCACCTTGAAGTAGTCGTCGCTTAGCATGCTCAGACACTGAGCCCGAGGAAGTATGTACAGCGCTATGCAGTCATCAAAAGAACGCTTCGATGGAGTAAGCTAGACCGCAAAATGACGGAACCGCGGGCCTGTTTCCAATCCACGGAATACGTACACCATCACATGCAGGGCATGTGGCCTAAGCCTTCTCAACAACGCGCACATCTATACGCCCTTTTCCATGATAGATGGATCTCGCGGACAAACGGCCTTGAACGTTTATCAAAATAAGCCAAGGTGGGCTGAATAGGCTGAAAGGGCGTTCCGTCCCCGCTGTTGGTTTATTGATATTGCTTCCGCGCGTGAGACGCCACCACGTGGAACGTCTTCGACGTCGATATAAAAGATACAAGGAGCCTGTGTTTGGTATTTCGATACTCTGCGTTTGCGCACTCACAAGTCCAATACTACAACATGCCGTCTACTAAAAGCAAGAACATCATTATTACTGGCGGTGCGCGAGGCATTGGTCGCTGCACAGCACGACACCTGCTTTCGTTGCCAGTATCGCATCGCGTTTTCATCATCGACTTTGATGCGGACGAGCTCGAATACGCAGTCAATACACATCTAGCCGCCTACGCACCACGTGTCAGCTCATCGATCACCAACCTCCGCAACCCGGAAGAAATTCGCAGCGCAGTCGCCAAAGCCGCCGAATTCTTCGGTGGTCGGATAGATGTCTTGGTCAACAATGCTGGAGTCGCTCGAGGATTCTTCAACGCAGGAAACGGGACTATGGAAGACATCGCTACAGGAGAGCAATGGGAAGCATACATTGCTACCAATCTCAGCGCGCCCTTCTACATGAGCCAGGCCGTCATCCCTTTTATGAAGAGCCAGAACACACAAAAAGACGGTACGCCAGGCGTTGATCGATCGAAGGATCTGAAGCGCACGGAGGAGTTCAACCAGCTGCCACTGAACCTCCATGGCGAGGACAAGTTGGAAGAGGGAGGCTGCATCATCAATGTTGCTTCCTTTCGCGCACATCAGTCAGACCCAGATTGTGAAGGCTATGCTGCAAGCAAAGGTGGTGTGCTGGCACTCACACAGGCCATGTCTGTTTCATGCCAGCGTTGGGGTATCCGAGTCCTGGCTATCTCACCAGGCTGGGTCAGCGTACAGCACGAGTGTAAAGCTCGCGATTTGCAGATCAAGGAAATGCAGAACGGATCGTACAAAGAGGTCGCACCACACGAGGAGGAAGCGGTGAAGCGAAGGATGAAGGCTTGGGCGGAAGATCTGGATGAACTCTATCACAAGCAACACCCAGCCGGTAGAGTGGGTAGGGGAGAAGATCTCGCTGAGATGGTTGAGTACGTCATGGGTGCAGGCTTCTTGAGTGGACAGGAGTTGATCTTGGACGGCGGTGCGAACCGGAGAAAGAATCCCAATATTTGAGATGTCTGCATAGATTAATAAAGACATGCGCAAAGCCAACTTGAGAGTTATGCATGCGCAACAGAGGGTTGTTATCAAGTGCGATACGCCGCCAACGCCATGCTTGCAGTTGTATCAAAAAACCAACGCTAGAGTAAGCAGAAATCCCAACCTCAAGAAGTGTCGGGTAAGAAGGGATGGTGCGCGTGGGCCGAACAACGAGGCACTATCATTTCAAGAGGACTTCAATCATACACGTTTCTTCTTCGTCCACGTCGTAGTCGGCCACTGTATCCAAGGGCATCATTCGATCACCATCGAACATGAGTGTGACTGGCTGGTTTTTATCAATCTTGTGGCGAGTCTTGTAAGCACTTGCGATGTGTGCAACGGTGGTGCTCTGACAACTGAGTTAGTATATGGACATAGGCCATCATGTTGGACGTATCGCGTCTTTGCATACGCTGAAGGAACAATCTCGACATACCTCTTTTACAGTCAGTTTGAAATCGGAGTAGCCCTTCGCTTTTAGGACCAGACGGAATCGCTTCTCTTCGGGTTCGGGCTCCGGTTCCGGAGTTGGAGTCTTTTCTCTCGTCACAACAGCTGCTTCGGCTGCCAGCTTCTTGGCTAGAGCTGCAGCGGCATCTTCCTTCTTACGCTGCTTGTAGACATCTTCTGTCCAAGCTTCGACATGGATCTTGGGAAGATTGACGTCATCGTATATGTTGGAGTCTCCTTGAACAGAGACGTTTCCGCTATCGTCGACTTGTATCCCCAATCGCTTTATTGATGTGCTGTCATAGAGACGTGTGCCCTTCCACGTGAAGAAGACGCTGCGTGTCATTTGCTCTGAGAACTTCTCCTTCCCACACCATGCCAGCCGTGGCTTCCCGATGGTGCTGTCTACTCTGACCTTGACCATCAATGGCTTCGCATCGGGCATTTGTGGATCAATCAATAGCTGTACTATAGGCGCCTTGGGAGCATCGCCATTTGCCTGCGCCTTAGCTGCCGCGACACGCGCTCGCGCCCTTGCCCGTAATGCAGCGAATGCGGGGTCTCCGTCTTCATCGTCATCATCATCGTCGTCGTCGTCGTCTTTGATCTCTATAGGGGACGGTTTCGATGGACGGACGGCTATGTCTTGTCTGAAGTCGGAAGCGGGCGATTTGTAGTCAATGTCAGGGTTGTCGTTGACAGGCTTGGAGACATAACCGTCGTCGTCGTCTGCGTCTGAGTCGCCGAGGTCAATCACGTGAGATTCTTTTTGAGGCAACGAAATGCTCGAGGAAGCGGATTTGGTCAAGGAGTCGTAGCGTGCCGTGAGCGAATCGGGTGGAGGACGGGATGGCGCTGGAGAAACAGACGTGATGCTGCGCCTGGGCAATTGTCAGCGCTGACGGTCAGATGAAGGTGAGATGCGCACGCTTTAGCAGCAGTCCTGCCCACCCGTTCCTTGCTGGCCGAGCCGTTCTTGGGTGGGACAAGCTCTTCGCTGTCGTTTGATATGCGGCGTCGCTTTTGGTCGCGCGGTTCAGAGTGTTTGCGCTTTCTCGCCGCTTCAGCTTTCTTTTTTTCCTCTGCCCTTGTCCTAGCCTGCTCGGCAACTATGTCTTTGAACTCATTGGAGTGGCTAAACATGTCCTCGCTGTCTTTCTTGGGCGCATCTTGCCATGCTGCGCGCTTGAACAGGCTGCGCTTCTTGGGTGGTGCGGCGCTTGCGGTCGAGTCCGTCATTGCTCGCGCGATGTCATGAGCAGCCGAGTTGGATAGAGGATAATGTTTGCACTATCCCGAGGTAGCGTCCAGGCGAGGAGAATATCGATGTGTGTTGGGAAGGCGCGGGCAGGTGCAGGTGGGGCTTCAACGCGCAGTCACGCTTCTCGCGATAGATGAGGAACACACTTGGTCTGTGCACTCTTCCTTTCCACCATCCAACATCGCCGTCTTCCCACTTCCATACCTACCAGCAGCCGAATCTGGGAACAATCAGCTCACGCCTGATCAGAAACCCACGTAGGCTATTTTCTCCATCTTGTATAGTGAGTTGCTAAATGTTTCTCAGGAAATCACACGTCACCAGATTCATCACCATGTCCACCAACGGCGAAAGCCCAGCACCCGAAGCCGCCGGCGACTCAAGAGATCCTAGCGGCTTTCTCAGCGAGATCATTGGAGCTCCCGTCACTGTCAAGCTGAACTCTGGCATCATCTACAAAGGTACTTCCTCACGTGCCCTGCATCTACGTCAACTACTAATGTCTACATAGGTGATCTCCAGTCAGTAGATGGCTACATGAACATCGCATTGGAACGATGCAAGGAGGTCTCTGAGGGACGCGTCACCCGGAATTGGGGGGATGCTTTCGTCCGTGGTAACAACGGTATCTTATCCTCCACTCAGATTTTCACTCCGCTTTAAACTAATTCACTTTCAGTTACATACATCTGCGCAGACAATGCGTGAAGAACTATGAATTTGCAGTTGTTTTTGGAGGAGCAGCGCGGTAACAGACCCCATGTGATGATTGACGAACCATGCTATCCACATAAC